AACTTTGCTGTTTATTTTTAAATTTATTAGTTATTTGAGATATAGAAATGTTTAAATATTTCAGAACTAGGGTAATTAAAAAAAAATAATTGTAAAAAAAGAACTTCTCTTCTTTTACATTTTTTATTAAATTCTTCTGGACATAGTAATAATTCAATAGTTCAGATTTACGCTTTTTATTTTATTCAAATCGAAAACCGATTTCATATAGCTGCCATGTTTTCAAATATATACCAATATAAATCGAAATTTAAGTGTTTTCAAGAATATTTAATTTTTGCCACAATTGCAAGGGTATATAAACTTCGGTTGCCAAAGTTTGCTACCTTACTTGAGTTGGTGCTTTTTTTCTTGTTTCTAAATACAAGGTGTATTTTTTAACTGGTTCTCCTCAATTTTGTCTATTAACAGTTAAAAATCTACATGGATTTAGGTCAACTTCCCCTGAATTTGGAAAACACATTTAATTTTTAAAACCATGTTTTTAAGGAAACAACAGAAAAAAATCTTCTGTGTATGTACACTTTGGCTTGCCAAAGCTCGCTTTTTTCTCTGGTTCTTATTTTTTTTAAAACATAAATATTTCAATTTTTTTTAACAATAAACAAATAAGCAACTAGACGTGAGTATTTTTTAGAGTGTAAATTTTCATTATGAAAAGCTAGTTAAAACTATACATATTGAAGCCTTAAGAACCGTTGCTGTGTCATAAGATCAACAGCCTATCAAATTTATAAAAACTTCCTTACCTATACAATATCAGAGAGTTTAAGGCATCCGCCGAGAGGAGACGACATAAAAATATTCCCACCCAGTCGCATGAACGAAATTAAGCTCGTGTCTCAGCATGATTTAGTTTTCACTTGAACGATTTCGTAAGTTTGATCCTAATTTTTAAATAAATTACATTTACGTTGGCAAATTTAAGTGGGCAGAAAGAGCAATCCAACTTCATCCCTTTAATAAAGCTAAACAAAAAGATGGAACAATCGTTGCAATTGAATAGCCCCTTAACAATAAGGGTGAAATCAGAAAATGTAGTTCATTGAACGTTTTTATTTGAATGGGCCACAAGATTATATGTGGAACGACCTTAATATTTTTATATTTCTTAAATCTCAATCTTTATACCCTTGCAGAGGCTGTTATAATTTCAGTCAGAAGTTTGCAACGCAGTGAAGGAGACATCTCCGACACTATAAAGTATATATATATTCTTGATCAGCATCACTAGGAGTCTGTCCGTCTGTCCGTCCGTCTGTCCGTCTGGCCGTCCGTCTTTCCGTCCGTCTGTCCGTCCTTATGTCCGTCCGTCTGTCCGTCTGTCTGTCCGTCCATCCGTTTCTACGCAAACTAGTCTCTCAGTTTTAAATCTATCTGGAAAAATAAATTTCAAAAATTATAACTTTGCTGTTTCTTAATATTTTTTTTAAGTTCTTCGATATTTAGTGATGATTTATTATTTTGAAATTACTGTAAAAATTTGATCAAAATCGGACGAATATATCATAGCTCACATAAGAACAATCGAAACATAAAAAAAAATTTTTTTAATTTTAACTTGTCTAATTTAAAATTTTTTTTTCTAATTCTTTTGGAAATAGTTATGGTTTAATAGTTTAGATTTACGAATTTAATTTTATTTAAATCGGAAAACGATCTCATATAGCTGCCATACGAACGATTGAATAATTGAGGTGAAAATCATAATAGCGTTAATATATATAAACATATACGCAATGTTTAAAATGATTTAGATTATTTAAAAGATATTTAATTTATGCAATAGCTGCAAGTGTATTTAATCTTCGGCTTTCTTTAAAAGATATTTAATTTATGCAATAGCTGCAAGTGTATTTAATTCTCGGCTTACCGTAGTTTGCTTCCTTTCTTGTTTGTTTTGTATTTATTATTGACATCATATTTTTATACATAATTATAATATAATAATACACATAATTTAAAACTTCAACTATAAGTTTAGTTTTAAAAAATGATTTTTTTTATTTTTTTTTAACTTTAAATAGTACCATTTCTTATTTTTGAGAACAACGAATAATTGATTTTAAGTCTTGAACTGAACTGATTCTTAAATCTAATTATCTTGTGGATAAAGCCTCGGTTTCCGAAAACATTCGATCTTCTGAGTGAGTTATTTTTAATTAAGTGAACTTTTTATTTCGATTGAGTGAGCTTTGATTTTAATTGAGTGAAAGAGAGTTCTTTGTCTTATCTTGTTTAAAGGTTTTAAGGAGACGCAATTTGAATATGGAAAAAGTGTGCGAACGTGCCGTTGGAATTAATCAGCGGCGCGACAATAAATGTTTAGTCTGGAAATTTCCCAGAGACTTCTGAGTAAAGAAAATATTTACAACAACTGGGTTTCATGTTATGTTTCCTTTTGGTAGGGGTGACTCAAGAGTAAGATCTCATGTGTGGAAAGGGTGTGTAGGTGTGTAAGAATATCTTGTGTGGGTGTATGTGTAGATGTCGATATGTCACTCCCCCTAACCTTTGAATTTGGCCTGTCCTAAGGGCGATAGTTTTGTGTACAATATAATGTTTTCTTGTATGGGTGTTATAATAAATGTGATTAAAAAATACATCATTATATTTAGTGTGTGTTTTTATTATCTCCTTTGTTTTAATATATGATAAAGGCTCTAGCTTTGTTACATTATTAATAAAATATATATATATTTTATTTGTAAGTATAAATTCATCTATTTGTATTGAACAATTAAGAATTTTAATTTTCAAGTACTTTTTTTTCAAAAACGTAATATTTGCTGAATAAATGTTCTGTTGAAATGTTAACATTTTTATCTGGATAAAGAATAATTTCATAGACCGGAACTTTAACTATGTATAGGAAAATAGGAAATTATAAGAATTTCTTTCGTATCTGTTTTAACCCAATTATAAGTTTTTGTTTTCAATAATTTCTCAGAGTTAACGTGATTCAAATAATCGTGTTTTAATAGTTTTGGGTTAAAAATATCAAGTCTTGATAATTGCAATTCCAACTCAATGTCTTCAATATACTCTGTAAAGTGTTGAAAGTTAATTATTAGTACTGCTGCTTGTTGTTTTAAGCCAAGTAGAAGTTTTTGTTTTCAATAATTTCTCAGAGTTAACGGGATTCAAATAATCTTGTTTTAATAGTTTTGCGTTAAAAATGCCAAGTCTTGATAATTGCATTCCCAACTCAATGTCTTCAATATACGCTGTAAAGTGTTGTAAGTTAAAGATTAGTACTGCTGCTTGTTGTTCCCTTTCTTCCCTTTCTTCGTCTTCTTTTAATTCATTTATTCTTTTAATTCCTTTATTTATAACATCTATTACCATATTGAAGTCGTTATTTTGGACGCTATTATCTGCTAAATTATTAATCTTCTGCTCTAATTCATCTTGATCGAATGTTCCGAATAAATATTTATAAGCTGTTCCGATAAAATAATTAGACCAATCTTGCTCTGTTTGATAATTTTTAAACCATTCATTTCTGATTGAAGTTTTTCTATTAAATATTGAACCTGAATAATATCTTTCATTTCGTTTGCTTCTTGTAAAAGACTATCAAATGTTTGTTCAGTTTTAGTTCGGTTTATGGACAAACAATGGTACTCGTATTTAGTTGGCATGACCATGGATCCGGTTGTAAATATAAGTTATCCGTTTTCAACTTTAATTGGGTTGATCTCAATATTTTGTCCCATTGCAATTTAAATTAAAGTTGATATTATTAAAAATAAAATTATGATCATATTTTTGTTGTCGTTGTGGTTTTTGGTTTCCTTAGGTTGGTTTGGAATTATTATCATATTTATTTATTAATTTTCTTTTTCTTTTTAAACTTGGTTTTATAATGCACAATTTTCCTGCCTCTGTTTGTTTCTTCAAAATGTTTTTCATCGTCTTGTCTGAGTGCTTCTTTTTATACCCTTGCAGAGGGTATTATAATTTCAGTCAGAAGTTTGCAACGCAGTGAAGGAGACGTTTCCGACCCTATAAAGTATATATATTCTTGATCAGCATCACTAGTAGAGTCGATCTAGCCATGTCCGTCTGTCCGTCCGTCTGTCCGTCCGTCTGTCCGTCTGTCCGTCCGTTTATATGCAAACTAGTCTCTCAGTTTTAAAGCTATCTGCATGAAACTTTCCCAAAAGTTGTCTTTCTATTGCAGGTAGTATATAAGTCGGAACGAGCCGGATCGCACGACTATAGCATATAGCTCCCATAGGAACAATCGGAAAAATAATTGAAAAAAATTATAACTTTGCTGTTTTTTAATTTTTTTTTTAGTTCTTCGACATATAGCAATGGTTAAATATTTCAGAATTATGGTTAAAATTTCATCAAAATCGGACGACTATATCATATAGCTCCCATACAAATAATAAAAATATATAAAAGAACAATCAAATAATTAAGCTGCAAATCGTCATAGCTTCAATGTTTTTAAACATATACGCAAGTAAATCATAATTTTAATGTTTTCAAAAATATTTAATTCTTGCGATAGCTGCAAGGGTATATGAACTTCGGCTTGCCGAAGTTTGCTTTCTTTCTTGTTTTTATTGCTTTTACTTCTACAAGTATATCAAATTTGGAGTATATATCAATACATGAAAGAAATTGCTGATTACCAACCATATAAAAATCCCTTGTGTATTTTTCTCTAATGTTTTGGATTTCTGGAGTGGTTTCAAATGACATATTTGTGTTCTTATGTTCTGATTTTGCAATATTGCAAATTTCGCATTCATTTATAATGTTTTGAATTAACTTCTGATAATCAGGGAAATTGAATATTATATATATTTGTGTTCTTATGTTCTGATTTTGCAATATTGCAAATTTCGCATTCATTTATAATGTTTTGAATTAACTTCCGATAATCAGGGAAATAGAATATTATATATATTAAACCAGTTAATGGTTTTATCGATTCCGGGGTGGAGGAGTTCTTTAATATTGTTTATACAATCTATCAGTGAGTTTTCTATCAATAGAATATTAAATTGTTTTTTTTTCAGAACATTTGAATAGTTAATTTTATCTACCGGGTTGGTTTCTAAATCTAATTTGTCATAAATTGTACGTGATTTATCTTCTATTGATGAACTTACTGATGCTTCCTTTGTATTGTGTCTCGTACAGGTATTTTATTAAGTCTTCATATCATCTTTCAACTACTTCCACTTGTTGGCTCCGGATCTGGCGACGACATCTTAAGCTGCATAAACCACCAATCTCTAGATGGCCCCGAAAATAACATGTATCTGACTGACATCCTGAGTCGGGTATAACTGTTGTAGATACTCGCTTCTTGTTGTAAAGCGGGTTAGATCTCCTGGGGATCCATTGAAGTAAGGCAATTCGATAATTTGGCCCAACATTTGGTTGTGGTGGGCCTCTGACAATTGTGCAACTGCCATTTTAAATTTTTTGTTTTTCACAGAATAAATCTGACCGAACTGGATTTTTAGTTTTTGTTCACAATATATACTTTTTTTTTTTTTTTAATTTACCGAATTGGTTTTTGTGGTCGATCTGTGGAAACTGTAGCGATTTTTTCCTCACTTAGACTCTTTGGCGGATTTCACTTTTGCGGATCTTCTATGTTTAAGGATTTAACGTTGATCGGGATAAAACTAGTCGTATAGTTTTTAACCTTGGAAATCAATACCCGTAAGCTTTTTAAGCATCCTTTTTTATGAAATTTAGTTTCTTAAATATTTTTTTTTTTAACTTTAACTAGTAAAATGTTTACAATAACTGTGTTTCAAGTTTTGTTTCCTTTTGATTGGGGTGACTCAACAGTAAGATCTAATGTGTGGAATGGATGTGTAGGCATATGCAAATTAACTTTATCACTAGTAATTTTGTTAAAAAAAATATATTTTATTTTATGAAATTTGGTGTTAAACCTTTTTATTTAATTTCATAAGTTCAATAAACTCTATTTTTCACATTCGAATATTTTACTTCCGAACTGTTTCTTGATCAAAGATGGACTCCCGGCTTAATTCTAAAATCTTATCCAACGAGCCTCGGCCAGAAGCTTTTCTTTGAGCTTCTAGAACTTTTCCTTTTGTTTAGAATATAAGCTTAGGATGAAATCATGACATCCTATTATGAAATTCAAATATGCAGACCGATGCAATTTGTTTGGGCTTGGATCGCAATAGTTTGAACTTAGAACGCAATTGATTGGACTTCGAGTGGAAACTTATGTTTACTTTAAGTTTTGTTTGTTTATCTTGGTAGGGAAACCAAGAGCGGACCCCAAAGCCAAAGGCATGGGCAAAGACAAAGGTAAATGCAAAGGCATAGGCAAAGATTGTTTAAATTAAATTTTGTTTAAATTGTTTATTAATTCCATAAGCGGTCCGGTTTCACGGGTTGGTTAACTTACATAGATTTTAATTGGTCAAATAGTCATGCGCTTTTGCGAATACTAGAATTAAAGAATTTAGATGCCTCTTATAAGCGTATATGTGAACATGTATGTATATGTGAAATCTGGTTTGTCCCAAGCTTGTGTGATGTTCTTATAGAAACTGATGGTTATATTTGTATTGTGATAGTCATGGGGAAGGGGTTGGAATACAAGTAAGCAGAAGACTAAAGTCTAAGTTTGTTTGTAAGTTAAATTAATTTGTGGATATCAAATGTTGTGGTAATGCTGCAAAGGTGCATAAATTATGATAATATTCTTGATGTCATTCCTAAAATTTCTCTAACGTATGAACTTATAACAGGAAATTTTAGTGTTGATTTAATTCGAGTCCTACCTTACGGAAAACACGAATACGTTGGGAATGAGCGTGGATAGTTATCTTTACCCTACGCATTTTATCAGGACTCAAAGCACTCTATTGGGTGTATTGTTTTAAAGTAACACTTATAAAATAGCTTAATATGACAAACTAATAGAACCGTCCATTTCAAAGCATGGCCTCATTTTCCTGACATACGCACTTTACATAAATACAATGACAATATATTAGTTTTTAGGGATTCTAGACACATAAACTATCACCTATGAAAAACACACTTAATCACTAAGATTGCCGCTCGTCTTTATTGCTCGTTGCGTCGACTCTGTTCTCGACGCCTTAAGTCCTTCTGGATGCTAGCAGCCATATTAGCTACCCAGTTTCTCTGGTTTTCCAGCATTCAGTTGATCACGTTATCCACTGTCAGGAAACGCTCGGTTCTTGATTCAGCTTCGGCTCGGTTCCTCGCGTATAGGGGGCAAATGAAGAATGCGTGATCGGCGTCTTCGATGCTTGCTGTGGTCGCAGTATAAGTTTGGCGTGAGGTAGAAGTCTACCTGCCCGTGTCTTCTCTGCAGCCAAGGGATTAGACTTGGGATTAACCTGTGCGTCCACCGTCCTGTGTTCGCATTGTTCCACCTCCTTTGCCAAGCCTCTATCGTTCTGCTCCGCTGGGTCCTGCTTCCTGTACATCCTGTCCTTCGTTTTGTTGCCAGGTGGTTGGTATTGTACCGGCTATCACTAGCTCGGCTTTCTCTGATACCGTGCAGAAGCTGCTTGTGATGCGCAGTGCGCAGCGTCTGAATACAGCTTTGCACTGGCGACTATATGTTGCGGTCTTCATAGCTTTGGCCCATATAGGCGGGGCGTACAGGATGGTCGAGGTCACCACTGTGGCTGTGATCCTTTTGCTGTGCTGCTTTGGTTGAGTCGCTTGATACTGTTGAAGGTGAATCGCTGCTTATGAGCACTGCCTCCATTTTGTGCTCGGCAAGCGATAGCCCGTTGTATGCGAGCCAGCTCATAAGAGCTGCACGTTATCATGGCTTCTTCGAGAGTTTTCGCTACAGTTTCAAGCGCTATGTCGTCCGCAAAAGCCCACAACGGTGCATCCCTCGCGTAGTGCCTGCCTTAGGATCCATAGAATCGGGCCCAGGACTAAGCCTTGAGGTACTCCACCTGTCACCTGGTTCTCATGCTCTCCGAAGTCAGAGGAGTATGCGAGCACTTTGTTCTTAAATTAGTCCGCTACGAGGTCGGTAAGGTAGTCCGAGATTCCCATGAGCGCTTGCAGGACAAGGTTCCAGTTGGCAGAGTTAAAGGTATTCTTAACATCCAGTGTGTAGACGAAGCAGTACTCTTTTGAGCCGAGTATTCACCTTTCCCCTTCGATTGCGTTAGCACCCACTTGGGTGATCGCTCGGATCGCGTCAATGGTACTTCTTTTCCTCCGGAAGCCAAACTGGTGGTCCGAAAACACTCTGAGTTCGTCGAGCTCCTTTTCGAGGTGGGTGCATACTATGCGCTCACATATCTTTCCCATCGTATTTAGAATACAAAGGCGTCGTCGTTCATCTTGCCCGGTTTTGGAATGAGCACTAATCTTTGCCGCTTCCATCCTGTAGGGAAGGTTCGTTAGGTGAAACACTTGTTGTACATTTCCGTTGTACATTTCCGTGGCTGCTTACACCATTGTGTGTAGCGCAGCATTGGGAATGCCATCGGGACCAGGGGCTTTTCCAGCCTTGGTTTTTCTTAGTGCTGCCAGTACTTCGGCTTCGCTAGTGAGAACGGTATCGCCTAACCCAATAGCTTGCCAGGTAAGGGGCGGCTGTGTGGGGAACAAGTGGTCAGTAGGGGTCGACTGTCTGTTGACTACCCATGATCATTCTGTATGCTGACCCGAATGGTTCTGCATCCGCAGCTTCGCATAGCTCCTGGAAGCATCTGGCCTTCCTAGCTTTGATCGCTACCTTCAGCACCTTTCTCTTGGCTATATAGGTTGCTTCGCTCAGCTCTTGGTTTCTGCGTCCTCTGCTTCTCTGACACCTGCGTCGGGCCGCTAGGCGGTCTCTCCTCGCTCCGTCTATCTCTCTATCGGCTAAGTTCTTCGCGCAGGTGTTAGCGTCTCCTGTAATGCAGACGCCTTCCATGTGTGCTAATTTGTGGGGGCAATGTAGCAGTTGTAGATTGTTAGTTCTCTGAACATCGCTCTGATATATCCCGCCCTGGATGCCCTTTGCGATAGGTGTCCAGAGGGCTGCCCGCGGCTCCAAATCACTGCTCTACCATCCGAGCTACGTTGCCCTACGCCTTCGTGTTTGGCCTTATAGGGCTCGCTGAGTATTGCCACATCAGTCTGCTGTTCGGTTGCCGTCTTGGTCGCTCTGCAGTGATTTAGGTTAATCTGTAGAACCTTAACCATGCTGTATAGAGTTCAGAGCTTTGCGGTACTCAGGATACATGCTGAGGGTCGAGTGTTCGGCCTCTCCTCCAGATATTCCTCGACTCGTGCAGATGAGGCATTTCGGTTTGCCCTGAGGACAAGTTCTGTACTTGTGCCCATCCTTGCCACATCTGAAGCAGGATTCCTGCGTGTTTTTGGCTGTTGCCTCCGACGCTGGGCATCTGGCAGACATGTGGCCTATTCCCATGCATTTGTAGCATCGCCTATGCTCCATTTTCTGCCCAATGCGGCAGATTACCCATCCTACCCTGATTTTCCCCTTGTCGAGGATCCGCCGTGCATGCTCTTGTCTGAGGTGAACCGTTGCAGTTTGAGTTCCGCCATAAGCCTTTCGCATCCTAGGTGCAGCGCCCGCCGGGCGTAGACAACCTGTAGTACCTCCACGTAGGTGGTCTCGTCCAAGTCGCGGATTTCCACTTGCACCGAGTCCTCCAGTATAGTAACTCCGGCTTTGCCGCTGAAGGCGGACTTCATGGCTGTGTGCAGTTACTGCGGGGCTGGGTCTGAGGGTTTCTGCATCTTGAGTAGCAGACTCCCATTGGCTGCCCTGCGTACGCCTAGGCACATGAGCACAATTGTTTTTGTAAATGCACATTCTTCTGGAGACACATAGGAAAGCTTGCTGGGCACATTTTACTATACACTAACAATTTTTCGTTTCTTCCTTGCGGTCTAATTCTTTACTGATAAGACATAGGCAAGGCAACAACAATTTTTTTTTTGTTTTTTTTTTATGTCTAATACAAATATATATTTTTTTTGTCTTTTACTTTGTTTTTTATTGAATTCTATACTTGTGGAAGTGATCTTTTTTAAATGTGTTGGTAAATGCACTGCCATAAGGCAGTTTTGAACACCCCTGATTTAAGTCATTAAGACAGTCAGTAACTAAAGTTAAAGACGAATCAAATTAAACCATACATAGCTTATAGTGCATTGCTTAACAATAATCAGTCTAAATTAAGGAAATATCGAAGCTATACCTATTTATATATATATAACTGTGTTACTTACAGTAAGCCATCGTGGCTTTGTGCTAAGCTTTTGAAAAGCTTCTGTTAATCTAGTCTTCTCTACGTTAGTCTGTTGTGTTCTGATAGGTATCGCCTGAATTTAAAAATATTAGCCGTGGTGTTCCTCAAGGTCAGTTATAGTTTACATTAAATGTTAATGACCTTTCTTGGTCTTTACCTGATTGTAATATTCAATTTTATGCTGACGTGTGCAGATGTA